AAGAGCTACTCGTCGATATGATGATGGAGGAGTTGGCCATACATATGGCGTTGAAGGTGTACCTGACATATTCTCGCCGATCGGACGTCTTAGTGGAAAACTAAAAGAAGTTTGGTGGTCTAATGAAAAAGATTATCACAGTGCACATACGTATATCATGTTAAAATTGTGAAGAGTTGTCATCGTATGAAAGGTACTTTTTAATTAATAATATCTTTATATGAGTTGTCAGTATTAATAACTATTTTTTGTTTTTCTCAGCACATTTGTTGATGAGGTTAAATAATGCATATCTGGGATTTCTGAAACTGAAATCAATGATCGTAAAGATCAACACTATGCCCAGTGGTTAAAAGGACAAGTACGTATAAAATTTTAATTAAAAGACTACTTTAATTTGCTATATATCCAAATCAAGAAATTAAAGCGGAATTTTTTTCTTATTAGGTGGACCCGAATGATCCGGATGAATTTCCAACATGGTTCCATGAGTTACTACTAGGTCTGATGGCAAAAATAACTACAGCCTCAATGTATTTCACTCGGGGCTATGTTTTTCACACATACCGTCACGGTGCAAAGCGGGCGACAACTAACTTTGGAGTTTGTGTGAGGGGTGAAATAGATTTTTATGGAATTCTGCAAGAAATAATTGAAGTAGAGTATCCTGGATTGTTAAGGCTGAAAGCTGTTCTCTTCAAATGTGATTGGTTTGATCCAACTGTTGGAAGAGGGGTACGTCTAAACAAGTTTGGAGTTGTTGACGTGAACAAATCACGACGGTACAACAGGTTTGAGCCATTTATATTAGCTTCTCAAGCAGAACAGGTAACGTTTCTGCCATACCCTCGAGTTCGATCAATAGGAATTTCATGGTTAGCTGTAGTTAAAGTGGCTCCGAGGGGCAAGATTGTAGGGGTTGAGGATGTTCCAGTTCAACAGGACACTTGCGTAGATCTGTCTGAACCAGATGTTGATGAGGAGATTTTCTTAATAGACCCTCGGAACAGGCAAGTTGAAGATCTTCCCGATGATACAGAAGAAGAAGGTGATGATGAGTCTGCTGAAACCGATGATGACGATTTGGCGGAAGAAGACGGTGATGGTGATGAAGTAATAGAGGAAGATGAATCTGATTGAGTTTCATGCATTGTATTTAGTGAATGTTTGTTATTATGTAATTTGTAACTTTGTATGTTTGAATTTTTTAAAAACCCTAAAATTCGATTTTACGACGGTTTTACGTCGGTTTTTCTAAACCCTAAACCCTAAGTCTAGGTTTTAACCCCTGAATGAATAGGGTTTCAACATTACGACGTCTTTACGACGAACCATCGTAATATCGTCGTAAAGTTACGACGGTTTTACGACGAGTACACTATTTCGTCGTAAAATCGTCGTAATGTTGAAATCCAAGAATTTGAATCTTTTATATCTTATTGGTTGTAAGGTATTTCACAAATGTTTTTGATTAGTTATCTTATTTTATGTGAAATGCTATCAATCTGATCAAAATCAAAAATTTGAAAAAAAAACATACATATTTACAAGTTCATGCATGTTTTCGTAAATGTTAAGTGAAAGGTTATATATTAGATTACAGAATTTCAATATTTACTATCTCATGTCCTAAATCCATCATACATGCAAAGTTGTAAACCTTTTGTTATATGTTAGGATACAATAACCTTTGCATTGTTCTTTATGCAATATCCCATTTATAAGATTTAGGGTTTAATCACTTTTTAAAAAAAACTTCGTAAAACCGTCGTAATATAATCGTAACTTTACGACGGCTTTACGTCTAAGTTCTCTAAAACCGTCGTTGAACCGTCGTAACGTTTGCACCGGATAGGCTCTTGATCCGAGGTACGAGGTTATAAATGTTTAGACGTTACGACGATTTTACGACGGTTTTGGGTAAAATCGTCGTAAAACCGTCGTAACGGTCAAACGCTCCCATCACGACACGTGTCATGTCATACAGTGGACTGACTGTTATACAACCGAATCGTCGTAAAATCGTCTTAACTCATTAGGAACGCGAGTTTTCCCCCTTTCGTCGCTCATTTCTCTCTTCTCCCCTCTCTCTCTACAAAACTTTCTCTCTCTAAACCCTAAACCTCTCCCTCTCTCCCTACTCTCCCAGCCAATACTTGTAAGTTTTTTTTTTAAAAAATAATTTCATTACATATTCTTTTAGATTTAGGTTCGGAATTTAGATTTAGGTTCAGAATATAGATTTAGGTTTCGGAATTTAGATAGGCCCGGATATTGTAAATTTAAATAAATATTTGAAAAATTAGTAACAAATTTTTTAAAATTTTTTAGATTCTGTTGATATGGCTCCTCGGGCTAAGAGATTTCACTACCGACAGCTGGTCGATTCTGACGGTACGGCCCCGTCTACCTCGGCGACCGGATCAGCCATCTCGGAGTCCTCGGGAACACAACGGACGGTTTCCCAACCGGTCGTTGTACCGCAGCCGGCACCGCCTCCACCACCACCAACCGAACCAGTGGCTCCCGCACCGGCCGATCCTGAAGCTGATCCGATCTCGCCTGTACTGTATGTCCAGTTTACGGTACATGATCTTCTGGTACAGCCGGGTCGTGAGACCATGAACAAACTCGACCCGGATCGAGCCCCAGGAACATTTTGGTACGTAATTTTTTTCCTACAATATTTTTAAATTAATTAATATTTATTCTTATATATTTGAAATTAATTTACTTTTCTCTTTCTATTTGACTAGGTTTACGACCGACAATGAGTCGGTCGTAACGTTGCAGATATCATCAAGGGGTTTTTCGTACAACCCCATACCAGCTGGAAGAAGCTGGATCAGGCCACACTTGACACTTGGTTCAAGTGTTTTGCGGTAAGTAATTTAAAATTTCGTTTAATTTTAATTTTTAATTTTAACTTTTTACAATAATTACTAACTTTTTTTTCCTAGCAAAACTGGCATTGGGAAACATCCGCACACGGACGTGTGGAGACGGCCTTCAAGGAGAAGGTCAAATTCCGCCTCAACAACACCGTTTCCGACTGGAAACGGAAGTGGGAGGTTGACGGCGACAAGGCCAAGCCGGCGCCTATGGCCAATTCTGTCTGGCGGGGCCTTGTCCAGTACTGGTTGGATCCGCACAACCAGACTAAGGCCGCCAAGTGTTCCGGATCTAGGTAAGTAGTTAATTCCATTAATATTTACATTATTTGTTTTCATTAATTCTTATAATATATTTTAATGAAAATCTTTTTCAGTAACGCTACTGACGATGCGGGAAATCGAAAGAACGTTCTGCACACTTCCGACCAGATTTCTTTTGCCGAAAGACGGCTTATGATGGTAAGTAAATTAAAATTAGTGATTTTTTTGTTTTCAAATCATTAACCCTTATTTGTCAATACTAATTTTTTCATTTTGATTTTATAGGTCGAAGATAACGGAGGAGAACTTCCTCTGATGACAAAGGTTTTCGCCGAGGCGCATAAGAAGCGGAACGGCGAAATCACGGATCCTCGGGCGGAGGAGATCTACAACGCCGCCTGTGCGGCGATCGAGGAGCAACAGACGCAGCTGAATCAGCAGGCGCATCAAACGTCTCCCGGAGGTAGCTCGGTCCAATCGACCCCGGCGCTGGCGGTGGCGGAGATAGACCAGATTTTCGAAAAGGTAAATTTAATTACTATATTTAATTAATGTAACTTTAGTTTTAAATTGAATTTCTAACCATAATGTTTTTAAATATTTGTAGGTTGCCCCAAAGTAAAAGGGGCGGGTATTAGGGATGGGGTCCATCCGTGATACCCCGGAGCTACGGCGACTGGTCACGTCCGGGTCCCGGATCCGGTTATCCGCCAGGAGATCGATCAGATGCGGACCCGTTACGAGACGAGGATCGACCAGCTCTCTAGTCTCTTCGAGATCATGGGAGCCGACACCCGGTGCTCATGGCGCAGTTGGACAAGCTGCGGGCTGATGGGGTTGTCGGATTGTCTGCCGCTGGGTCATCCACTAGGACGCAACCGCCGGTGCAGACGGACGAGGAGATGTTCCGATCTCTCGGGGTTGAGCCTCCTAGAGCCGGAGATCAGGCGCCGGCGGAAGCAACAAACCGAAGACCCGGCAAAGAACACGTCCAGGACGATGGGGAGCAGGCCGGTGACAGGATCGACGATATAGATTTAGATTTAGATTTAGAGCTGTAGAGTTTTTTTTGTAAATTACAATTAATTTTAATTTGAAATTTTAATTTGAAATTTTAATTTGAAATTTTAATAAATTTTAAATTGTAAATTATTTTTTTAATTTAAATTTTAATTCGAATTATTTTTTTTTAATTTTCAATTATATTAAACGTCGTATAATCGTCGTAATATCTTTATCAAAAACCGTCGTACATTCGTCGTAAATATTACGACGAATTTACGACCAAAATGTACGACCACAAATACGACGATTATACGTCCGTGTTTTACGATGATTTTACGACGAAATGATTAAATACGTTACGATTGATTTACGACGATTTTTGCGTCGTACATTTTACGACGATCTTACGTCGACCATTAACGACCACTTAACGACGGTCCAGGCGAAGACCAAGTCGACGCAATTCGATGTAAAATCGTCGTCAACTGTACGACGCATTTACGACGATTTTGTTTTCCTCGATGTTACGACGAAACGAAACCGTCGTATAATATACGACGATTTTACGACGATTTGTCTATTACGACGATGACTTTACCACGATTTCGTAATCGTCGGTAGGTCGTCGTAATAGCCCTATTACGACAAAATAACGACCATTTTGGCCGTCGTAAAATAATGTTTTTCTTGTAGTGAAAGGAAGATGTTTATGTGAGTCAACCAGAAGGATTTGAAGCAAAAGGGGAAGAGCACATAGTGTATAAACTTTCGAAAGCCTTGTATGGCTTAAGACAAGCTCCAAGAGCTTGGAACACAAAGTTGGATCGAATTCTGAAAGGAATGAAATTCAAAAAGTGTTCAAAGGAGACTTCAGTGTATTGCAAGCAAGAGGGAGATACACTACTCATCGTTGCCATATATGTGGATGATCTTTTTGTGACAGGAAACAGTCTTAGAGGAATACAGGAGTTCAAAGTTAGGATGTCATCTAAGTTTGAGATGTCAGATCTCGGGAAGCTCACCTATTACCTCGGCATTGAAGTTCATCAAGGAATAGATGGGATCAAAATCAAACAAGAAGCTTATGCAAAGAGGATTTTGAAAGAAGCATGTTTGGAGAACTGCAATCCGACTCAATTACCTATGAAGTTTGGTCTTAAAGTGTCTAAATCTCAAGGAAAAACAGAGTTAGACCCTACGAATTATAGGAGGAATGTTGGATGCCTAAGATATCTACTGCACACAAGACCTGATTTAGCTTTTTCAGTTGTAGTGGTTAGTAGGTATATGCAGAGTCCTCGTAAATCTCATGGTGAAGTAATGAAGAACATACTTCGTTACCTCAAAGGAACCAGTTCATATGGCCTAAAGTTCAAGAGAGAAGGATCAAAGAAGATCGTTGGGTTTAGTTACAGCAGCCACAACATCGATCAAGATGATGGAAGAAACACTACAGGTCACATGTTCTATTTTGGGTCTGCACCAATCACTTGGTGTTCACAAAAACAAGATACAGTCGCTCTTTCAACATGTGAGGCAGAGTTCATGGCAGCGACAGAAGCAGCTAGTCAAGCAATATGGCTCCAAGAACTTCAGAGTGAGATCACAGAATGGAAGATTGAACAAGTCATCATCAAGATTGACAACCAATCCGCAATAGCACTTACAAGGAATTCGGCATTTCATGGCAGGAGTAAGCACATTCACAAACGCTACCACTTCATAAGGGAATGCATTGAAAATGGGCTAGTTGATGTGGAGCATGTACCGGGAGTTGAACAAGAAGCCGATATTATAACTAAAGCTTTGGCAATGATTAAGTTTACTGAGATGAAAAGCTTAATTGGTGTTGGAGAGATGTCCAAGACAGAGTCAAAGCTTAAAAGGGAGAATGTTGGATAAGCTTTGGTCATTACTTGAGGCTCAAATCTCCTAGCAAGTTGGTTAGAAGAAAAGGAAAGTTTCAAGTAAATCCTAAGTAGATTAGAAAAAGGAAAAGTGTTAAGGGAAGATGTCTTTGCACTATATAAAGGTCTTAATGAAGTCGCATTAAGATCAAGAGAGTCTAGGTTATTATTGTTTAGTTTTGAGTTAAGTTTTCTAAGCTTTAATAACAAGAGATTTACAATACAAACCTGAGTAATCTTGTGTTTGCGAAACTATATTTTATTCATTGAAAACGGCTACTCAAGTTTACATTGAAAGCATGTTTCATTGTTTATATTATTGCATGCCTTGATTTCATCTACTAACAGTTTCTGGTATCTGTTTGAAAGCAGTTTTATGTATTGTCTACAGTTTTATGTATTGTTTATGTGAGCTTTACTTGGCTCTGCTACTTATTGCTAGATGTTCCAAATCTATAAATTGATAAATTCAAATGTTAGTTTTTTGCAGGAGGAAGCTGATTTTGTTGATAATATCGAAGAAGAGGTTTCAGAGAGCATAGTTTGTTGCTTTTGAAGCAAATGACATAGAGAGGATACCTTCTGCAGTGTCACTAGCCACTTCACTGGTTCCAGACGTTTTCTCGAAGTTTGTTTGATTTAGTATTAGTATAACTTATCTTCCTAGTATTAGTATGTACTAGTGGATCTTTGTGATCTAGGTTTTGTAATACTTTGATTACTATAATATTATTATTGATTACTTTTGTACTTGTGATAATTAATACAATGTTTTGATAGTGTTATGCAACGTCTCTCAACCCAGAATGATGTATAGCATTTTTATAAAATGCTATAAAATGCATAACAATTACATTTATCCTAAGAATACTCATTTTTAGCATTTTAGCATTTTTATAAATGTAATTTAGCGTTTTCAGATAGCGTTTTTTGGATGCTAAGAATACTCATTTTTCCAGTAGTGTTTGAAACTATATTAGCCTTACGAAAAAACGCATTTGATGATGCGTAAAAATATTTTTCTGATATCTTATATTAATAATTGAGAAGGACATTTTAAAAACAACATTCACTTGATGTGTGATTTACAAGAGTGTCATGCTAATGTGTCGTCATGAGAGAGCTTCTCAAAACACATATAAAAAAATTATTCTTTTACTAAAATAATTACATCATAAGTCATTAACATTAATTTGGATAGAGATTAATTTATATCGGTTATACATTTAATACTCAACATATAATTTGTAAAAACATTCTCTCTCCTTCTATTTCTTATCAATTTATTTATAAAAATTTAATACCTAATATACCTATGTTACTAAACATTATATTCTTTTATTTCATCTTTCTTTGATCTTAATTTTGTTAAAAAATAATCACATTATTCATTTAATAAAAAATTATTTTTTATACATATTATAATTCTATTTTTTTTTATATCAAAAGCAAAATTTCTTAGTCATATGTTGAACCGGTTAGATAAACTTATTAATCCAATTTAGTATATTCAAAATATGCAATTTCATTCATATAAAAAATACTATTAAAACTATCAATAATTATCTAGTATTTATGCAATTGTATTAAAAAATAAATATAATTGTAATCATTATTTGCAATTACATAATCAGCACATAGACTTATAATTATAAATATCAGCTAACATTTTTGTAGTTGTATTTATATATATTATATTTGCATATTCGAATAAAAAAATTATGATTAATATTTATCCCGCATAGAGTGCGGAGAATCACTTAGTGGGTAGTTATAAGAAATACAAATTTCATAATATCATTTTTTGAATTTTATTTAGACCAAATATTTTTAAAAATATACGACAGTCTAAATTATCAATATTGCCTTTCAAAATGTTCAACTTCTTTTATTCGCTAACTGATATACTCATAATTTCCATAGGTTTTAGCATGAATTTTACTTAACATTTTGTATCTCATTCATGCATTCTTATAGTTTTCTTAGTGTTTTGTCTCAATTGTGTCATTATAGGTTTTGCATTCGGTCCTAGTATGTCTATGCATGTTTGGAGTGTTATTAGGTACTTATGGAGACTAAAATAGACATGGAAACAATAAGAACTGGAGCCAGGTCATGACAAGCATAGGAGATGGTGCAAATGATCAAGAAAACTCTGAGGATCTGTGTTCACACCGGAAAAACACACCATACCATTTATCACTTGATCAGTCCGAAGTGAATGCAGATGCGTCTCAACGATCAAGTGAGACAGATAGATTAAACAAAGATTAAGCTTCAGAGTCCTTCAGAAAAGTTGTAGACAACTAAGTCAGTGTTTAAATCGAGGTGGTCTCGAGAGTCATTCTGACCAGTGGTTCAGGAGATACATTGATTCTAGCAAGCGCCTCTATCCACCTAGCGCCAAGCTGCAAAGATGCAAGATTTCTCCGGGCTTCTACACTGGGCCAATGCCTTCCGGTGCCAGATCTCAACTCTCCATACTCTCCAGATGACAACTCCACACTACGCTGTGTCAGACCGGTGCAAAAAAATAGGTGTCCAGCCCCAAACTTGCGAAGATTCTCCGGGCAAGCACACCGGCCAAATGGTGATAGGTATGAACATGTTCTCCAAGCTTTGTTCCACACCGGCCACCTACACCGGAGGAAACCTATCTGAAGTGAAAAGGCCGGCATCCATATTTGATAGCTTTTGGGTCAGAACCTGGTTTGTTTCAGGTTGACCCAAACCAGAAACACTTAGGGTATAAATTTTTTTACCCTAATTTTATAGGTTATTTCTTTTTCTCCTAAGAAACTTTTCTATTTTGGAGAGATTGAGAGCTTTTGTATCAGATATTTTCTAGTTTATTCAAGTTTAAGCTCTGTTTCATCTTTATTTCTCTTTTCTTATCTCTTTAATCATGATTAACACTAGGCCTGGGCATTCGGATATTCGGTTCGGAACCAATCGGTTCCGGATATTTCGGGTAGAGAAAGTTAGGATCCATCGGATATTTTTATAAATTTCGGTTCGGGTTCGGTACCTTTATTTCGGTTCGGTTCCGGTTCGGATAATCGGATCTGGATCTTTTGCCTCAAATTTTTATTCGACTCACACTTTTTTAATAACAAAAATTCAAAAATATATATATCAAAACTTAAAAATATACCCAAAAGTCCCAAAAATAAAGAAAATATATCTGTAAAACCAGAAATATATACCAAATATCAAAAATATCAAAAAAAAACTAATATTTAGAAGGATATATAATTATACTTTGGATAATTCGGGTACCCAATCGGTTCTCGGTTCGGTACTAGTTCGGTTCCGGTTCTTCGGGTATAAGAGTTTAAGATCCATCGGATATTTTAAAAAATTTCGGTTCGGATTCGGTACCTCCATTTCGGTTCGGTTCCGGTTCGGATATTCGGATCCGGGTTTTTTGCCCAGGCCTAATTAACACACTTATCTCTTCAGATTTTGTGGTTTTAGTCATAATTAGTGGGTTGTCATCTTTTAAGCTTTTGGGTGTGTAGATTAGGGTGCTTAGATGTTGATTCTTTGATGTTTAGCTTTAGATTCCTCTTTTCTTTCTCTTTTAGTTGCTCCTAATATAAGATTTCTTTGAGAAAGTGAAATCTGAGTTCATAGGCATTTCATGCACTAAAAGTGTTTGATGAAATGCCTGAGCTAAATGAGAGTCTAATGAATATTTCATATGAGAATGCTTGTTAGATCATTAAATGGTAACTAGAACTGGTTAGTAATGCTTGTTGATTTGTGTTTTCACTAATGAGAATTAGATCTTGATTAGCTAATTAACATGATAATATCATAATGATAGTGAGTTAATTGAAATTAGCTAGAGAGTTCTTAGCCAAAGGAAATGTCTTCTTGATTGCTTTATCATCATAGATTCGCATTGAATGCAATCTAATCCATGATCACACCTAGAGGATTAGTCTTTTTATCTTTAGTTAATCATGTTTAGTTGTCTAATTGCTTGCACTCGTTTTCATTTGATCATTAGTCTTTAGTTGAATCAAAACATCATCTTGTTTGCTTGGATTAGGCTAATTTCTCATATCTTTAGTGTCTGAATCTTCTCATTTGGTTGAACCCTTAAGTATTACAACATTAAAGTTAATTGACCATTAGGATAAAATCTTATTATCACTATCCTGAATTGAATATTTCTTTGAAAACTGGCCACTTTGAAAGTATAAAAAATGTTAGTTAACAGTCAGGTTTGTAAAGTTTGTTATGCTCTCCGACTTCTAGCTTCTTGGAAAATGCTGCCCTAATTATCTCTCTCATTGGTGGAAAACCCTTGGACTAATAGTTGATCAAGGATTCATTAATACTTCTATTGAATTTCGAGTTTGGAATATGCGATTTATTATTAAATACAGATTAATGGAGACAAGTTTACATGAGATCTTCAACGTGATACAAGGAGATCTGTTTGGCTTGTATGTAGAGGAAATAATTGTCCGTTGTAGAATTACATCAATATAATAATTCTTATAATTTGTAATAGAATAATAGATCTAATGTTATAATAAATAAACAAAAAAAAATAATAATCATCTCTCTCATTGTTAATATTTAAAGATTCACACTTTAGTTAGAGGGGAAAACGGCCGATTCCCTCATGAACTTTATACCTTCTGATTTCTCATACACGAACTATCAGACCATGCCTCCAACTACACGAACTACGTTTGTTTTTGAATTTCCTACACTAACTACTTAAATGTGGTCTATTCCACCAACTCCGTTGACGGAGTATATTTCACCGTTAACGGATGCTGACGTGGGTGTATGCGTGGAAAATCGAAATACAATATTTTTTTTTATAAATAAATACAACCAAACGATGTCGTTTCGTTTGGTTACTCTGTTATTAATCAAAACAAAGAAAACGTTGTCGTTCTTGTTTTTCGATTTGGGGAAGAAAGTAAACTAGGGTTCTTCGTAAGTTTGAGAGAATTGAGAGAATAGTGACTCAAATTCTGAAATTGGAAGCATGGATTCTCGCAAAAGAGGGTTCCCGAGCCACTGTATATGTGGTGAACGAGGAAGAATGCTTACATCAAAAACTGTTACCAACCCAGGAAGATTATTCTTTGCTTGTCGCTATGGAGATGAGGTAATGATCTATGTTGGTGTTAATTGTGATAATTGCAATGCCTGTTAACTTCTTTCAATCAATTTAGGGATATAGAAAGTCTGGATTATAAAATTGAGCAAAGGGAATGACTGAATTGCGAAAGCAATCTTGTTAAACAATTCTTGTTTTTTACATAATTGTTGTTTGTATTGTGTAGAAAAATCGGTATCACTTGTTTAAATGGGCGGATGAATCAATGGTTGAAGAAATTGAGGATATGAAACTGAAAATTGATGATCTTGAAAGAGCTTCATCAACTTTTGAAAAGGGTTTACAAGCTTGTGAATCTGAAATGGAGACTATCACAATGGAGACTCGGACATGTGAGGCAGTGGTCTGCGGTTTTGAAAAGGAAATAAAAAGGTTTGAAAAGGAGATACAAGAATGCAAGATGGAGCTAAGAGGGTTGAAAAACATGGTCGTGTGTGCTGTGGTGATGGTTCTTTTGTATAATTTTCTAATGTAATGATAAGCTAGATTAATCTTTGAATCATTATGAGTTGTTTGTTATATTTGAATTCTGTGTGTGTGATGTTGTATGATTGAGAATCGTTTGAAATGATACAGTTTGTACCAGTTCTTGTTGCCTTTTGAATTTAGTCAGACCTGTAATTATTAGCAGGTTTTACACGATGAATTGCAGCACAACAAAAGAAAATAGATAGATCATATCCTTAGAAGCTTACATTATTTTAGTCAATCACTTGGCTTTGCATTGGTTCGCTTGAACCCTCACCACAAGCAGATTGATCTTGTGAGACTTTTTTCTTTTTTGGTGGTCGTTGAATCGTAACTCCAACATTATTACACTTCCTTGTGTTATGTCCACTCTGACCACATCGTCCACAATGAATGATTCTTCTTTCCCTGGAAAGCTTAGTTGGAGACTCATACAATATTTTTTCCTTCTTTTTACTTGGAGACTCATTCTTCCCTTTGATCCTCTTTGGAGTTTTCTTTCTTCCTCTTGTTGGTTCTGTTTCTCTTGGGTGGCACGATCACAGAGTCAACAGTTTTTTCCCAAAAATTCACACCACGAACAACCTCTATAGGTGTGCTGTATTGCATCCTCCATCGAGAAGTCAGATAGCAATCAGCCATATAATCCTCTTGCCGCCGTTTTTTCTGGGAAATCACCTTAAGAGCATGGCGGCAAGGTAAACCAGACATCTGCCACCTCCGACATGTGCAAGTCCGTTCAAGCATTTTCACCTTGAATGCTGACTTTTTCTCCTTCACCTCAAAGGTCTCATGCCCGGAAGGATATATTGTACAGTTGACAATTTTTTTCTGCTCCTCATCGACCTTTTCCATTGCTTTAATACTGAACTTTCCTCTATGCTTCATTGCTTTAACCTTTCTTGCCTCCATGCGCAGCATTGCTCTTCTGCGTATAGTCTCCAACATTTCCACCAGAGGCATTGATCTTGCAGGGTCAATAGCACTATTAAAGGATTCTGAGATGTTGTTACTTACATCATCAGACGTAGATGTCGGTGTGAAATATGCAAGACTACAGTTTTTTGGATTCTTCGACATCATTGACTCATAGACACTCACGTCGTATGCCTCCACTGCCCTGATCCTCTTTTCATAGTGAGGCTTGTTGTAGCTCTTCGCAACCTTCCAGAATAAGCTTTTCATGTCAGCTCTGTTTGGGTGCTTCTTCTTTAAGTTTGCGTAAATGTGTCTTGCACACATCCTATGCTCAACTCTCGGTTGCAAATCAGAAACAGCATTCAGTAAACCCTGCAAGTATTCAACAAATATATCAGCATCAAACCAGTGACAAAAAACTGATACCACATAACCTAAGTGGGAACTCATTACCTTCTGTCTATCCGAGATAAGGGTAAAACCATCACCGTTTTGGAGATTCAAATCACTCTTCAGCTTCTCAATGAACCATCTCCAGTTAACTTCGTTTTCGACATCTACAACAGCCCAAGCAATGGGGAACATTTGATTGTTCGCATCTCTTCCAACCGCTGCTAACAACTGACCACTTATTGTGCACTTAAGAAAGCAACCATCCAGTCCAAAAATAGGCCGACAGAGGGAGCTCCATGTCTTCTTCAAAGCAGCAAAACAGACATAAAATCTGTAAAAAATGTCTTCCTCGTGCTCTCCGTGGATTGTCTCTAGCTCCACCGTCGAATCCTTGTTAGAACTATGCGATCAAAAAATACATGAATGTTAAAAAAGATACACAAACAAGAATAAAAATATGAAGATGAAACTTGTAAAAAATACAATGAAAAGAATTAAAATCTGAAGAGTTAACATGAACGTTACCTAATTAGCTCAAGCCGATAATCTCTCAACCTTGAGAACTGTAAGTCGTGCTCCTCTTGGATCATCTCTAAGGCCCTTTTCTTTGCTTTTCTACACTGATCTATTGTTGTAGTCAAATGCCAACGCTTCTGAATTTCACTCTGAATTTCTCTTGGCATGTACTTAGGATTATCCCGAAGCTCATTCACAAATAGCTTAGCAATCACTTCTTGACTAAGTATTTTTGAACGCCCACTCTTCATACAAGTGTGTTTCTTCACATACACCTTAACCAACCATTTTTGTAATGGTTCATCATAAGAACAGTAAATCCTCCACATACACTCTTCTTCTCCTTCTTCGGGCTCACTTGCACATTTAACCTCTGACTTGTTCTTCTCCCAGCGCTTATATTCCACATTCCATCCTTCCTTTAACACATACTCGAGCACACCTTGTTTGAAAGCTTCCAAACTATCAAATGCTTGGCTTAACATCAGCTCACCACTGCCTTTCTTGTATCTGATATAACCTTTACTATCATCAGCATCATCATCATCGTCTGAGCACACCGGAGTGGCATACTCATCAATCTCTTCATCAACAAAATTGACCAGATTTCTTTCAATTCTAGCTTCTTCTTCAAATTGACGATCTTCTCTCACAGCCTCATCTCTCTCGGGTTCATCACCATCAGTCTCATCTCTCTCAGACTCCTCGTTGTCATTATCATCTCCTGCGACCTCCTCTGTGATTAATTCAGGCTCTACAAATATGTCAATTGCGTTGACATAGCTTGCAGCTGCACACATCTTCTTAAAGTTTCCATCTCCATTTGCTAACAGTTTTCTATCCTCCAATTCTTCAAAAGGGACCTTATACCATACTCTCTGCCCATACAAACTCACCGGAAGTTGATTCATCAGCTCTGTAAACAACAAAGAGGGTCGACTTTCAACAAACCGATATCCTCCACCGATGTAAACATCTTTGCCTTCCACAACTTCAAACTTCCCACCATAGAAACAGCCGAACGTTATCGACCTATCGAAATCATCACTGCAGACCAAAATCATATTAAAACCAACCTAATTTCTACTCAGAACAAAGTATTACAGAAAACTAAATTAGACTTACCTCATTGTCGAGACTCGGAAAACTCGGACACGAAATGGAACTTCACACGAAATCGATTTGATACTTCTACCACGAAATCAAGATGAAACTAACTCACAATTACCAGTTCGTCTCTTTCGTCGTATGATATCATCTCCCCTTATCTCGATACTCAAATTTACGACGAACCCTAATTTTAATTCTCCCCCAAATTGCCACACGACGTTGTTTTGGATTTTCTGGATTTGGTTAGTTTAAGATAAAACGGCATCGTTTTAGCTCTCCAATTAAAAAAAAAAAAATTCAAATCGGACCAAACCGGTTGTCTACCTGGCTGCCACGTCAGAAACCGTTGACGGGCATCTCACACCGTCTGCGGTTTTGTTGTAATTGACCAAAAAGACGTAGTTCGTGTAGTTGGAAGCATGGTCTGATAGTTCGTGTATGAGAAATCAGAAGATATAAAGTTCATGGCGGAATCGGCAGTTTTCCCTTAGTTAGAGACTATTACAATGCTTGATATTCTTTTGTGATACTTGAGACCGCCTAAATATGATACCGGTTAACCTCAGTACATCAAAAATTGCATTAACTATTTTGTGATCATTCATTTTGAAGTAACATAGCTTTAAGCGGATTTCATTTGATAAAGATTTTGTTTGATAGTTATTTCTAAAGGCGGTTAGTTCTCTAATCACCTTTTACCACATTAGAAATGATATGTCATGAAAATAAGATGTCGCTTTGAGGAATTTTAGTAAATTTCAATAATATTTCCAAAATCTCCAAATAACTAAAACACAAGATTGCAGCGAGTCATTCAAAAGAGTATTTCAAGACTTTTTTAAGGAAGAGCTAAGATAGAACAACTTGTTTAAGCCTTGACACGGTTGTAAAACTTGTTCTTTTCCTGGGTGGTCTGGAATTTACCATGTCCCATCTTCGAGGAAGTGTCAATGAACTTGAGTCTGATCTCCTCGAGTGCAAGACGGGAAGTCTGAGTGAGTAGTGACTGTCTCAGAGTCACAACCCTCTTCTTTGGACCCATGCAGCATCCCTTAATCATCAAGTAGTCATCCTTCACAATACCGTAGTGTGCAAATCCTCCCATCGGAGTCACATCCTTCTCAGTCCTACCATAGCCACAACGTCATCAGTTACATAACCGAGCAAGATAAGAACCAATGAACCAGTAAAGAGAAATTATACTGACCTGTCGTATTCAGTCATGGCTGTGTGTGTCTCCTGACCAACCTTGCCCAACCTGTAAATCTTCTTGTTCAGTTCAGTACGGTGATGGTAACCGTTCTGACCAGCTCTGGCAACAGTGTATGAGACTCTAGCTGGATGCCACGCACCGATACAAGCAACCTTACGTAGACCCCTGTGAGTCTTACGTGGAAGCCTTGTCACACCCCAACGGGTAACAACACCTTCGTAACCCTTACCTTTGGTGACACCAATCACATCAATCATTTCATCCTTCTGGAAAACTGAGTCGATAGGGATCTGCTTCTCAAAGAAACTGTAGGCAAAGTCGACTTTCTGGGCAATGGTACCACCGTTGATCTGGATCTCCATCATGTGAGCCTTCTTCTGCTTCAATCCCTTCATCTTCCTGATCTGCACGGTAGAAAGGTAGCATATAATTGCAAGCAACAACAAAATGCTGAAGTTGATTAAACCGGTGAAAACATTTGATAAGCAAAAATACCTGAGTGTGGGCCAAAACACGGATGACAGTTCCGTATTTCTTCATCTTCTCAAGCTGAGCATGAATGCTCTTCTTGCCATCCTCGCTTTCGTACTGCTTTGCGTACCCGGTGAAAGCCTTCTTCTTAGACTTGGCCCAGTTCTTGTAGAACCTTCTCCTGACCTCCTCACTCAAGTGCTGAGCCCAGACAGTGTTCAAGGACCTCAGGCCACGGGGAGTCTTGACATAGGCAACAACTCCAACAACCACCATGGCAGGTGTCTCAATGATGGTAACAGCCTCACAGGTCTCCTTCTTGTGAAGCTCTATACGAGAATAGAAAAAAATGAACATCAGCATTAGGTTACCATCTTAAAATTACATTGCGGAATGAAAATACCAATATTCAGATAAAAAAAACAAAGACGAGTGACAATTACTTACTGGATCCGGGCTTCTCGACTTCTCTAACAATGTGGGTCATACCAGCCTTGTAACCCATAAAGGCTGTGAACTTGCAAGGCTTGGTTTGGTCATCCTTAGGGAATGCCTTCACTGATATTCAAATTCAACATTAGTGTGTAAATAAAACAGGGAGAAAACTCAATTATAACTCGAGAAAAAAGAGTAGATCTTCCATTCACAAATTAACAAAGTAATCGTTTCAATACCACTGAAACTAATTTTTAAGAATGCTCAATCGTAACTCTTAAACAACAGGGCAGATGGTTCGTTTACATGATAACCAAGTAAGATTTTAAATCACACCGAACTATGATTAAAGAAAAGTCAATCGTAACTTTAGAAAACAAAGCAGATGGTTCATTTTGAAGAATCAATCGTAAGAATCTCAATATCGCTGAATCCAAATTAAAATTATTACACCCAAACGTAACTAAGAAAATCAGAACAGCTGTTCCATTATGAAGATAACAATGCATTCATCTCAATAACGACGAATCTAAATTTGAAAGATATTCAGCCGTAACTCTTAAAGAAGATGTTACATTTTGAAAATAACCATGTACGCATTTCAATAACACTAAATCTAAAACTTGAAGTTAAATCAATCGTAACTGTAAAATACAGATCAAAGGTTCCATTTTCAAAGCATTATAATAACACTGAATCTAAAATTTGAAGAAAGCTCATAGTAACTCTAAAAACAGATCAAATGTTCAATTTTGATGATACCCAAGTAAGCATCTCGATAACATTGAATCTAAAATTTTGAAGAGAACTCACCTTTTCCTCTGTGACGGTTAGCTCTCTTCCTCGGTAAGAAACCAAGTGAACCGTGCCTTGGGTGTTCAAACTTCCTGTGAGACATTCTTCTTCTCCTATAACAGAACAGTCACAAAATTGGAGGACTGATATGAGACGAATAGTAGATATACAAAAACGAAGAAGGAGAATCAACGGAGATAAAATGGAGAGGAAGAGAGAAGCACCTAAAACTTCAATGAGTCACTCCTGCGGCTAAAGCTAACAAACACTGACGGCGAAGAGAAGCGTGGATTTATAATAAACCCTATTTTCGACTTACACTGTGTATATGTAACCCTAAACGTTTTTGGACATTTAAAACCCATCTTCTAATTGGGCCTTTAGAACCCACCACAATTGAAACTAGGGCAAATAATTTGTCTACTTTATTTTCTATATATAAACTCATCCTCATCGCTGTGTGACTGTGTCTCCGTCTTCCTCCCCAAATCTTAGTGTTTTTAATCGTTTGTTGTTTAATGGACCCTTTTTTCTCTAATTGTTACTCAATTTTTTTTCTTAGAAGAGATTGATGAAATCGAAACTATGTCGAAACGCAAGCGTTTTGTAGACGCAATGAGCGTCGATTTCCACACGAGATTTCTGACTCTTCGTCTTTAAATTTGATTTCACTGAAGTAGAAGCTGTTTCGTTAGGGTGCTTCCATGTTTGGTTTCGGGGATTATATACAATCGGAACGTAATAACCTATGAAAAAGCTTATTTGAGATGATATTAGATGCAATCAGTCAAACGTTGTATATATTTGGTGCGGTGTTCGCAAATCGTGGCTCGGAAAAAGAACAAGCAAATTTGGATTTTAAAAAATGGTGGAATAATGAGAATGATATGAATAAATCTGAATGAGGTGACTAAATTGCAAAGCAAATTGGTTTTAAAGTTTTAATAAACAAAAATTGATGTTTAAGAATTATGTAGAATATAAAAACTTTAGAATGTAAAAATATTTTGCTGATATGGATAGTTTTAAGAAATACAAATTTCATAATATCATTTTTAAACCTAATTTAGACCAAATACTTTTCAAAATATACAACCGCCTAAATGATCAACATTGCTTTTCGAAATGATTTCATTTCAAATTTTACAACTTTTATTCTAGTCTGGATTTCAAAACCTTTTGAAAACTCACTACTTTGAAAAGTATAAACCCTATTAGTTAGCAATTAGGTTTTTAGAGCTTGTTATGCTCTCCCACTTTTAGCTCTTTGGAAAATGCAGTTCTAATTATCTCACTCATTGTTAACTTTCAGTACCATATTTCAATGTAACACTTATGGATTCACACATTTGTTAGAACATGTTCAACGCGGGAGCGCTTAACACAGATGCTTATGTGTTTTTTTTTTTAAAAAAAGTCAAATAAATACAACAAAAAAAGAATCGATACTTAAACTAAAGTTTTAAGCTCCGCTGCTTATGCGACGTTTATAAAACAGGTGTAAAAAAATAATTAAATAATACATAAGCACCTCTTTAAAATTGCTCTATTAGACCATGTCCATCAGTGAACCCTTGAGAGAGGGGTTCATCAGAATATAATACTGTTTTTTTTGTTTTGTTTTTTTCTTTTTTTTTAAAAATTCGAAATTATTATTTTGGACCAATCAGGATGTGTCACGTGTGAAGAGACTGTCTCTTCAGGTTCGTCGGGAAGAACCCGGGTCATGAACCTCTACCTTTTTTTTTATTTTTTTATTGTATTTCTTCTTATAATCTGTGTCATGAACTCTTCAAAAACTCCTGATGAACGGTCTTAGAGGGTTAAAGAAGTACACTGCTTGACACTGACATTGAGACCGCTGAAAGATGATACTGGTTAACCAAAATACATCAAAATTTGCATTAACTATTTTGTGATCATTCATTTTGAAGTTACATAACTTTAGGTAGATCTCATTAGATAAAAGACTTTGTTTGATAGTTTCTTTAGATTTCTAAAGGCGGTTGGTTCTTTCATCACCTTTTGTAAAACTAGTATTAGCATCTTTGTGACTTTCTATAGCACAATAGAAATGATGTGTAATGAAAATTCGATGTGGTTAATACCATTTGAGGAATTTTAGTAAATTTCAAAGAAATCGTAAATTTCTAATATTTTAAGAATATGCGTTGGATAATTTATAATTTCTGAAAATAATAATGAGAATGGATATTAATCAACTGTGTTTAAGGAGATTCAGATCAGAATAAACGCATAAAAGGAAATCAAAAACTTGCAAAAGTAAAAAATCCACGGTGAGTGACAAATACATCGAGAGGACAAGACCAAAATATTTAAGAGATTGAAAAAAAAAAAGAATATACTCTTTTTGCTCTGTAAAACAAGAACAGATGACCATTGAAGGTATTTCCGTGGAATCGAACAAATATATAAATTACACAAAACATTCTTTATATAACAAAGGCAGCTAGGCCGAAGCCTAGATTAGTCTCCGATGATCCTTAAATGGGAGAATTCGATCTCTGCGTTATTCGACCACCACCTTTGGTTTTAAATAACACAAAACAAATACAAGATTATAACAGAACAAATTGTACCTGAAGACTATGTTTTCTATCCATCTCTGACTAAGCTTTTGTGTGGCCAAGTTCAACATCTTTCGACTGTGTAGTTTCTACACCTTCCTTCAAAAGTTCAAACTCTTCTTCTGTTAAGCTGTGTTTCACACTGTTCAAAGCCTTTGCTGCAAGAATAGACTGTTTCTCCAATTCCATGGCCCAACTGTAGATTACCATCCCAACAATCGCAACAATCATGCCCGCCACGTTTTTGAAAGTCATTGCAGAATCAAACAAAACCCATCCCAGTGTGAGAATGCACACTGTTTTCATGTGACCTATAACCTGGAACGATACTGCTGAAAACCGCCCGATGCAAAGGTACTGGCTTATATTGCAGAAGACAGCTAAAGCACATGAGAGAAGGATGAATAGCTGCAAATGGTAGAATAATTAGACCAATGATAACATAAGCTATATACAATAACAGAACATAGAGAAAGAGAGAGAGAGAGATATGCTTACAAAGCAACCAGAAGACATATTATATTTCATTATGAACTTCCCACTAAGGAGATAATCAACTAAAGGACCAACAACGAGAAGCGAAAGAGCTTGAATCGGTGCTGTTTTACTCAACAACTCAAAAGACCCAATTGAATATTTCTTCTGCAAGGAACCTATTAACTGGCACAAAAAAACACCCAACAGATCAGATTCCGAGCCTTTATGGAACAAGATCAACAAATTTGCCAAAGAGAACTTACAATTTGCTGCAAAGAAGAGGAGAAAATAGCAACACATGCACAAATGAAACCTTTGGCATTAACCTTAACATCAGTGACAGTGCAAATACCAACACCTACAACAACAACCACAACAGATACTTTCACTTCTCTGGAGTATCTTTTGCTGTGAAGAATCCATTCCATGATACAGACCACAGGAATCATGCTCAGCTTCGAGATCTATTTCACAAAGAGCTGATTTCATTCAGGAGAAACAAAAGACATAACAATTTGATTCTATAAGCAATGGATCGAGGGAAAAAAACCTGGTAGAAACCGACGGAATTGAGCATGAGACTGAAATTCATGGCTGCTATAGAGACATTAGCGACGATGGAGAACCAAATTAGCTCCCACATAGGGACATGTTTGGATGCTGAGAATCCCGTAGCGTTCGAGACCAAACCGACCAATGCAGTTAAAGCGAAATGGAATCCGGTGAGAGTCGTTGCTAAAAGTAATTGAAACAATTCGAATCATCAGATCTCAAGAAGAAGAAGAAGAATAAGAGGGATCGAGGAGGGAGAAGACGAACCGAAGCTAAAGGCGAAACCAGAAGAAGACATTAGCTGTTTATTCGCCATGATGATTCCAACGGAGCTGATCACATTCATTGCCCAAGCTCCCATATCGGAGACCGCAGAAGATTTTCGCTCGTTCTCCGCCGCCATATCTGGTCAAAATGATCCAGATCCCGATGGACTGATCACGACTTGAGCCGTCGTCGGAGAATTCTAAACGCGATTAAGAGATCCTCGGAGAAAGAGGAAGTGTCAGGCGTTGGTTGATTCACGCTTTATAGGACGCTCACCTTCTTCTCTCTTTCTTTCTTCTTTCTACTGTCTTTCATTCACGTCCCAGAAAATATCTGACTTGCTCAAAAAAGACTTTTTTTTTTTTGTTCAATCTCAAAAAAGACTGTAAAAGGCATTTCTCAAGTAAATTCAATATTTTCGAGGATGTAAAAAAAAAACATCATTACAGAAGAATGTAATTATAAAGAAAAAAATTATATAATTTGGGAGAAATGTCTTTAGCTAATTAACTAATTAAGTGGTTCCAAAACAAATTTCGATCGGAGAATTGAAGAGAAGTTAAGTAAATAGTTTAGATGGTGAAATAATGAATAATTTATAATGTCCGATCAAAACTATAGTTTTTCTTATTTCACCATCAAAATTATTACAATAGTCAATATGTAATTACAAAGACACAAGAAGGGGAAAAAGATGTATAATTAGTTTTTTTTGTAATAAAGAAAAAGAATAAGGAAAATTGCAAGTTTTTTTAAAGTCACAAAACCCGACATTTTATTTGAGTTTCGAATTATAAAAGTTGAGGACTGTCTTTGATCATGTCTCCTCTGACATAAGACAGCTTCTGATCTGCAAGGTGGGTATTTCTCAGTCCTTCTTTTTGTTTTTCTCTATCGGACCTTAACTCAGTTTCGTATTTTCTTAGAGTTTTCAAGCTTTGTATTGCTACTTATTAATACATGTTGTTTCAAAGCTTTAGTGTCGACATAGTACGGATTATATTTGCTTCCATGTTTTTTTGTTTTTTTTATGAGACCAAAACTTTAGGTTATTTATTTTGTTAACTCATTTTCTAACACCTAAATATTTTATTATTAATGAAGTTTTACAATTTAGCAACAAAAAATGGCAGTTTACACTTTAAGATAAATATACTCTCACTCTAAAATTTCGAACGAGTTATGTTCGTACATAAAATTTTCAGGCTAGTTTTAGATTTTGCGCCATCAGAAAATTTAAGAAAACTGTTTGTTCTCCGTTCAAATATCCATCTTAACTCCAAATGATTATTTTTTTACCTTTCCCTCTTTTCGATATTTTTCTCCTCCTTTTCTCAGTGTTAGTTTGCGACTTCCTATTTGTTCAGCATATCCTTTTAGTTTCCAACTCTGACCGTATTTAGGTTGTTGCGAGGCTGGAGGCGCCAGAATATGTAAGATCGACAATGTGCATTATCTGCATACGCCTCAATTTTTGAAAATCCCGATTTAGATATAAAAGCTGAATATTTCATCGTTTTTGAGGTTGCCTCGGTATTTCGGCTTGGTTAGGTTGTCAATAACAATGTTATCGGCTTCAACCAGGGTGTCACACTCTGGTTTCCCCTTTGTTTATTTCATATCAGTTATTGTCATCCTCAGGTGGGAATGTCCTCTTATGGAGCATGTGCATAGATAGGCATGAAATTTGGTGTCTTGTGTCTTGCATTTTTTTTTTTTGCTTCACTGGATATCGCTTTGGATTTGCTCTAATTCAATCTTTTGTCTTTCTCTATATTTGAAGATCGGTACTACTTTGATTGGATAGCTGTCTTCTTGTATTTACATAACAAATCTGATCAAGATCTGGTCGTTTCCGAAATTTTTTTTATCTAAGCATGTAAAAGTTACGTTTCCACAAATACCACCGCATATAGGAGAAATCATGATTCTTTCTTGCCATATTAGGTAGCCTAGTAATCCATGATTTGAAATGTAGTTTTTATACCCTATAGGAGAATCTATTTTTATGGTTGGTCATGGGCATTTCCGGGATGTCTCTGTCAAAGGATTTTTTATAGTAAGGACATTTTGTTGATTTGGTGCTAGTACCTAGTTTTTACTAAGTTGTTTTGTTTAATTTCAGTCAGGTTCCTTTGTGGTATTTAATTAATGATTTGAAAATGTCCATGCAATAGTTCGGAATGGTTTTGAGTTTTGGTAAGTGTGCAAATGCTCAGGGTTAATTCACACTTTTTTCATAATTCGGATAGCCAAAATTTGAAAGTTCATGATTTTGTTATAATTTTTATTTTAGAAAACTGTGCATTTGTGAATGTTTAGTTTTTCACCATGCAACATTCATATTGTAAGTTTTTTGAAACACTAGAAATGAAAGAAAATGACACCAGTAGTAGTGCTTGTTAACCGGCAACTTATTAGGCAGATTGAGGGCGCGAGGGAAAGTCTTTTCCTGCTGCCGTTAATTTTGCATTACGCAAAGTCAAAGTCAAACTATGCTGTTAACTTTTTGTTCAAGGAAGCAGCCAATAAGTCATAAGTCAGCAATTTTTTTTGGGTAAAAGTTTAAGTAAGCCTGGGTAAAAAATCCGTATCCGAATATCCGAACCAGAACCAAATTAAAATAAAAATATCAAATCCGAATTGAAATCTATAAAAATACTCGATGGATCTTAAACTCTTATACCCGAAAAACCGAAACTGAACCAGAGCCGAACCGAGAACCGATCAGGTACCAGAATTATCTAAAGTATAATTATGTATTCCTCTAAATATTAGTTATTTTTTGATATTTTGATAAATTGTGTATATTTTTTGTTGTACACATATATTTTCTATACTTTTTTGGAACTTTTGGGTATATTTTTGGGTTTTGATATATATTTTTTAAATTTTTGGATATAATTTATATTAAAATTTTTGAGTTGAACTAAAAATTCGAGGTAAAAAACTCAGATCTGAGTATCCGAACCGAAACCGAACCGAAATAAAGGTACCAAATCCGAATCGAAATTTATAAAAAATACCAAATGAATCATAACTTTCTCTATCCGAAATATCCGGAACCGATTGGTTCTGAATTGAAACCAAACCAAATACCCAAATGCCCAGCCCTAATCTTAAGACTCCATTTGTTTAAACATTGGTTCCCAGATCTCAAAGAGGACGAGAACCGATGAAGATCACATAATTTTTTTGATAGAACACCTTGAGATTAGACAGTCACAATACATATAATACATAAATCAGGTGACCGAATATTAATAATTTGATATTAACTATTTTAATCAAATTAATATGAGTGGAAAAAATTGTAAATAGTCTTGTTTTACAATTTTTTTTAAAAGCTCTCTTATGATGACATATCAATTTGACAGTAATAAATCATATGTTAAAAAAAAACCTTATGTATTTATATTTTAGCTGTCTTAACTTCTTAATTTCTACACTTGTTTGTGGTCTTTCGTTAAAAAGCTTTTAGTACATTTCTTTTGTATCTTAGTTCGCTGAAATTTCATATATATATATATATATTTTTTTTTTTGTTCCTTAAGAATCTTTTTATAATTATTCAGAACACTTTATATCATATTCCATGGAACCAACTAAAAAACAGATGCGAGGAGAAAAAAAAAAAGAAACAGAAGAAGTATACATACTGAAATGTCATCAGTCGATCGAAGTGGCTAGCTGGTGATATACATTGCAAAATTGGTGAAGATGTGTGAATCTCTGGAAGCATCCAAGCAAGGATCAAATTGTTTTTTTATAAATTGATGAGAGTAAGAGCACAAATGTGTTTAGAAAGAATTATAATAAACTTTTATAAGAATAATAAGAATAATATTATAATGTTCATTTTCTTATAATATCTAACTTTCCTAATTTAAGATAAACATAAATATAAATAATATATTTAAAAATAAAGGTAAATTTCCTAAACTAAGATATTGGTAAATATCTATAATTTTCTAAATTTTTCTTAATCTTCATGATTTCTATAATTTCCATAATTTTGGTATGGTCGATCTCTCAATACCCTTTTGCAAGTTTATACGTGTTACCACGTATGAGATTGAACATGTTTTCAAAATATTGGTGTTATACTCCACCGTCGAGTCAATCGATTTCAATACCCAGCCGTTGGATCATCAACGACGTTTATACCCGATCGTTGGATTCTTCAATAGCTTGTATACCCAGCCATAGTGTAAATCGGATGGAAAATACACATCTTACTCCATATGACAGAAAATTAGCACAATCATGTGCTTCATATACTTGCGCTCCAAGAAACTAGCAACATGCTACCCAAATAACCAATACGCAAGTAAAGTGACCAATCACTGATCACATCAACAAAACAAGCCACCAATATCTTCGATTGACTTTCACATGTCACCAAGTCATAAACATGAATCAAAGAAATAAAAAAAATAGAAGTTGTAAAGAGAAGCAAATCACGTTTTTTTTTTCACTCAATTTTTTGTTTTTAAACACTAAGGATTTAGAAAAAAACAAAACCATAACCCATAGGATTGGATCTAGTCTTTGATACCATGATAAAGTGATGAGAATAAAAACACAAAGGTGTTTAAGAAGAATTATAATAAACTCTCATAAGAATAATATTATAAAGTGCATTCTCATATATAGAAATAAGCTAGATCTAAGATTCCTAATTTAAGATAAATATAAATGTAAATAATATAAATATAAATGTAAATAATATATTTAGAGATAAATGTAAATTTCTTAAACTAAGATATTGGTAAATATCCATAATCTTCTAAATCCTTCTTGATATTCATGATTTCCATAATCTTAGTATGATCGATCTCACCGATTTTCTAATAGCTTTTAACACCACTCAGCCATCAACCTTCTCTTGAAGTGTTCGGCCTATAATACCCAAAAAGTCAAAAAGAGGAAAAGAAACATTTTGGATTAAATTGATCATTTTAAAATTTTTGGAAGTTGTTTAATTTCCAGGGAGGGGGAGGGGTGGGTTGTAATATCAGAAGTTAAAAAAAAACAAGTAAATAGATGAGGGCACATGGACTAAAGTGAAAAATCAGGAAAAAAATGGAAACCTTCGTCCATCCCAAAATCTTCAGTATATCTTTGGGTGTGATATCTTCAGTATATCTTTGGGTGTAAATCTTCAGTATATCTTTGGGTGTAATCTTCACAATTTTATATGGTTTCAAACCACCAAAAGAAGTAAAAGCTGTTTATGGTCAACTTTGAAGAGCTTTTTTGAGGTTTAAAGACTCATTTTCCTTTTTGTTGAGTTTTAGTACTTTCCCACAAGTTATGAT